GGGCGGCTTCAAAGCAATGTAAGAAAAACATCCAGAAAAAGGGAGCGCCCAGAACCCCAGATCCCAGTGCCTCCCGGGCCGGGATGCAGCCCCAGCCTGGGGGGGCTGCTTAAGGCACTGGCGGTGATGTCCCTGCCAGGGGAGGGGGCTGCAGCCCCTTCCCCCCTTATTCCTTCTCCCGCGTCCACTTGATCATGGTCTCGGGCGAGCGGTAGAGGAAGATGAGCTTGGCGTAGAGCTCCTCCTCCAGCTCCAGCTCGCCCGTCTCACGCACCAGGAAGATGTCCTGGCACAGCTTCAGGATGCGATCCACGTAGGGCAGCTCCTCGAACATGATGGAGTGCGACACCTCGCTGAAGAAGTCCCGCACGAACTTGCCGATCACCAGCACCACGGACACGTAGAGCCCCATGATCCTGCCAGAGGGGGGCACATCTGGGTCACACCGGTGTCACAGGCATCCCAGTTCTTTCCCCAGGTGTGCCAATAACCTCTCCCTTCCCCTCCCTCGCTCCCTGCTCTCCGTCAATCTTGGCATTCCAGAAAGGGTTTCGAGCGATTGGCAAAGTTCAAAAGATGCCTCTCATCCCTGGGGACATTGGGCTATCCAGGTGTCATTTGTCCCCTGAGACTTCCCCCCCACCCTTACCTGGTTGGTGGGATCTCTACCCCTTCCCTGCCCCTCTCCCCAGGGTTAAAAGGAACAACCACGTGGTTTAGAAAGTTCTGTTGGAGGAGATGCTGAATTCAGAGACCTGTGGGCCAGGAATAAAGCTCTGGATCCAAACCCTCCAGCAGAACTGACTCCTTTCCTTCACCATTGCCTTAAAGCTTCTCCAGCAGAGGTAAACCTGAGCTCCTGCATGCTGGGACTTGTCCCAAGTGCCCAGCTGCAATATCCAGCCAGCCAAAGGTGTCTCTGGGGTGAAACGACGACACCTGCCCCCTTTGGTCAAGCAGCGAGGGCCAGATGAGCCCAGGCACGTCCCATCTGCCTATATTGGTATTTAATTCCAATGCCTCCAGATCCCCCCACACCCTGGCACCCTCCACGTACCCGTAGCCAGCCAGGAAGCCCAGGCTGGGGGGGCTGACTTTGTCGTTGAAGATGACCATGGGGAGGATGCTGCCCACCTTGGATGGCGCGTCCTTCTGCCTCAGCACCCACCACTCCACAAAGTGCTCACCGGGGCCAGAGCCCCTGCGCTCCTGTTTCAGCTGCAGCTCCACGTCCAGGAAGTTCTCCTCGCCATCTGCAGAGGGTGACACCGTCAGGGCAGGGCACAGTGGCTGCTCTTGAGGACAGTTTTTTGGGGGGGAGTGACACAGCAGGACTTGTGTCCTCACTGTCTGCAGGGGCTGGCACCACCAGGTGTGCTCCCAGTGCTGATGCCTTAGGGAGGGACACACTGGGACTCATGTCCTCCCTGTCTTCAGAGAGAGAGGTGGCACCCAGTGCTGGTTTTCTTGTGGGGAACATGTTGGGACCTACCTGGCTGCAGCTCCTCGATGGGTTCGGCTTCGAGGCCAGTGGATGCCTGGATGTATTTGGGGAAGAGGTTTTGCAATGCCCTGCAAGAAAGTGGAGTGATGGGGGGGTTACACCGTCCCACTGAGCCCAGGGGTCCAGACACCCCCTCAGGGGACACTCACACGGGCTCAGTCCTGGTGCCATCCAGCATCTGGGCCAGCTGCAGGCGCTCGGGCGTGCCGGGGTCCAGCTCTGTGCTGTGTTTGCCATAGGCGTTCTCCACCGTGCCCCCCTTGCTCAGGTCCCTGCGGGCACCAGAGGCTCAGTGTGGGCACAGGGGCGCAGGCAGGGCTGGCTCCTCCCTGGCCGTGCCCGAGGTACCTCTGCAAGGTCCAGCTGAGGTGCAGGGTCATGTCAGAGGAGCCGTTCTGCAGCTCCAGCCGCATCTGCTCGCGGCTCGGGGGGCTGATGCTCCACAGCGAGCCCGAGCTGCCCTCGATGCGGGCGGTCACGATGTCCTCCACGTCGTAGATGGTGATGAACTGCATGGCCAACTGCCACCGAGGGGGACAGAGCTCAGCCCCTGCCCCGGGCAGCCAGCAGGGATTTTTTGGGGTGGGGAGGGGATTTACCAGCTGGCCCTCAAACTCTTTGGTGAGGTCCTCGTACTCCTTGTTGGTGAAGGGCTTGATGTATTGCTGCTGGGAGCTCGCGCTGAACAGAGGCTGAGGAGGGGGACAGGGGGACATCAGCCAGGCAGGGCACCCTGGTGTCCCATCTGGGCAGCCCAACGGCCACCCCCACATCCTCACCTCGTACCCCCCCAGCTTGAGGGTGACGGTGACGTCGATGGGGTGGTTGATGATGCCCACCACGGAGCGCACCAGGGACATGAAGAGCAGAGGGAACCAGATGATGCCCACCAGGAAGAGGATGATGAGGCCGCCCATGCCATACTTCACCACCTTCTTCTTCTTCTGCCCCCTGGGCTGGGGGAATTTCTGGGGTGGGGGGAGACAGTGCACAGTGTAGGGTGGGCTCAGGGGGACCCCAACAAAGCCCCTGGAGGGGTTCAGCGAGGGACCCTTCCTGGCACAGGGGCTGTACCTTCTCAGTCTCCCGGCTGCACTTGATGATGAAGATGTTGGCGTAGATGTCCTCCACACACATCCAGTCGGGGAGGGACAGCGTGGTGTCCGTCCACACCCAGTCCATGACGGCACGCAGCTCCACCAGGAAGGGCACCAGGCGGAACCTGGGGGGGACACGGGGACAGGGCGGTGGTACGGCACCCTCGGCGTGCCCAGGGCTCCCTGCAGCCCCGTGCCCTACCCCTGGAAGAGGAAGAGGTTGAGGTAGTTGTATTTCTTGGTGAAGAAGTTGCCCAGGATGCGGGTGGGGTAGCCGCTGCGGATCTGGTAGGCCGACAGTCCAAAGTAGATGCACTTCACAAAGTACCACAGCTGGGCCACTGTGTTGTGGCGGAACAACCTGCGGGAGGGACGTGTCACCACAATGCTCCACGGGGCTCCACCAGGATGGGCGTCAGCGAAGGGTCACGGTGCCACCCGTGTGTCCAGAGAGGGGTTGGGGACACGGGAGGGACCCCCCGGCTCTCACCTGCTTTGTCCCCTTCCTGCTCTGCGCTGGCAGCCTGCTCCTGGTAGTACTTCTGCTGCTTGGTTCGGATCCGCTCCATCCTGGGGGCACAGGGTGCTGCAGAGCCCGCTCCCCCAGGGGCACCCCATACTCAGGGGGAGTCCCACGGTGCAGGGAGAGGGGTCCCAGTGCCCCCCAAACCCACTCACTGCCGCTTCAGCTGGTCCAGTGACTTCTTCTCGGCCTGCTGGTGCGAGCGCAGGCTCTTCATGATGCTGGCCTTGAACAGGGCCACACCCCTGGGGGACAGGGACAGCAGAGGGTCAGGGGGGCCCCCAAACCCATGGGGACCCTCCAGGACCCCAATCCCACCTGGAAGCCTGCAGGGCAGTGGCTCGCAGGTCCCACATGACGTGCAGGTAGTAGGAGCTGAGGAAGACGCGGCGCTGGAGCAGGAGGAAGAAGAAGCAGATGCTGTCCCACATGATGCCGGCCTCCTCGATGGGCAGCGTGCAGTCGTGGTCCTTGTGCATCGCCTTGGCTGGCAGGCAGAGGAGCAGGCGGGTCAGGCAGCAGCCCAAGCCTGCAGCCCCCCAGATCTCCCCCAGACCAACAACTCACGGTTGTAGTAGCCCTTGACGGTGCAGACGAGGCTGAAGAGCTGGATCACCCAGCAGAACCTGCTCTGCATTTGCTGCACGAAGACACAGGACAGGAGCTGCGGGGAGAGAGGGCACACACGGCTCTGTCACCACCCCAGGGGACAGCCAGGGCTGTTGCCACATTTCTCTTCACAGAGAAAAGCAAGGCACAATTCTTCCCGAGGATTTCTGAGATTCACATTCTCTGAACCTCAGAGAAAGGGCAAACACACTTGCTGTGCCTGTGTTGTGCCAAAGCAGAATGCAGTATGGAGACTGTTTATCCAAAGTGAGGATGTTTTGTTTCCTTGGCCTGCCTGGGCCAGGTGTGTGTGTGTGTGTGTGGTGACAGTCACAAGATCCTGGGCAGTGTGAGCAGGTGTGTGCTTGGCAGATTCACTTTAGATGAAACGTATATAGTACAGTATAATAAAGCAATTAATCAGCCTTCTGATATCAACGGAGTCAGATTCATCGTCTCCCCTTTGATGTACAACACAAGGTGACCCGAGGAGGAGCCCGTGGGGGCTCAGCACGCACCGAGAGCATGTTTTTGGAGATGATGACGGCGATGTTGTAGAGGATGAGGCAGTCCCAGAGCGCCAGGCGGGCGTGGGCCGACTTGCGCAGCATGGTGGTGCCCGAGAGCAGCAGGTAGAAGCAGGCCAGCACGTAGCCCAGCCCAAAGAGGCTGATGCGGGTGGTCCCCGTGATGAAAACCACCACCAGGACCACCCAGAAGAGGTAGTGGAACACCACCACCTTCACCATGTCCAGGTAGGACCTGTGGATGCATTGGTCAGAGCAGGGCCTTGTTCCTTCCCGACACAGTCCCAGTCCCCCCCACCAGTCCTATCATGGGGGACAAAGGGTTTTGTCCCAGTTTATGGCACAAAGCCTGTGAGGGTCCATCACCAGGGGTGTCCTGGTCCACCTCACTCCTTCCAGAAGAGCCTCAGGTTGTCCCTGCTCCAGCCATCAGGGTGGTCATGCCCAAAGGGACCCTGGCCCAAAGGGGTCCCAATCCCATTCTAGAGGATCCCAGTCCAGCAGGTCCCATCCCACCCACACCCCAAGGGGTCCCATCCCCAAGGATATGCCATCCAAAGGTGGGATTTCATTTTGCCCCTACCCCAAAGAGTTCCATCCCAGGAGGGGCAGCTCATCCTGTCTATACCCCAAAGTTTGCTATCCCAAGGTTGGTGGGATTTCATTGTGTCCACCCCACAAGGGGTCCCATCCCAAGAGACTTGCCATCCTAAGGTGGGATCTCATCTTGTCCCTACCCCAAAGGGTTCCATCCCAGGTGGGAAGCCCATCCATACCCCAAAGTCTGGCATCCCAAGGTTGGAATTCCAAGGCTGGGATCCCATTGTGCCCACAGCCCAAGGGGTCCCATCCCAGCTGGGTCCCATCCCAGAGGAGCCCCCCATTCAGTGCCCACAGTGGGGATCCCATTCCCACAGCCCAGCCCCGGTGCGGGAGCAGAGCTGGGGGCACCCACTTGCAGTAGATGAAGTTNCACCGCTGCCAGCTGGGCACAGGGTGGCTCTGACCCGCTGTCCCCTTGTGCCCAGGACCCACCTGATCGTGCAGACAGCCCGGGACAAGGGCTATGCCAAGGTGATGATGGGTGAGAGCCTCACACGCGTGGCCATCAAGCTGCTCACCAACCTCTCCCTGGGGCGCGGCGCCTACCTCGCCGTGGACACGGTGAGCTGGGGACAGCCACCCACACCCAGGGGTGACACGATGCCACAGGGGTGTGGTTTGGTGGTGGCACAGTCCCCTGGCAGCCCTGCACCCACAGGGTTTCACGGACCAGCGCCACGGTGACGTGATGGTGGTGAGACCCATGCGGGACTACATGGCCAAGGAGATCGCCTTCTACAACCGCTTCTTCAGCGTCCCCACCGTCACTGTGCCTCCCCTCTTCACCAAGGTAGGCGTGTCCCGTGGTGGGGAGCCTACGCTGGGTGTCCCCAGGGCAGGGACAGGACCCTCAGTGCTGCCCTGCCCTCCCTGCTGTTCCCTCAGCGTCGGGAGAAGCTCAGCATCCACCAGCTGGTCGAGCGCTTCCTGCTGGGGCTGCAGGAGGAGTTCCCCTCCACCATCAGCACCGTGTACCGGTACAGAGGGGTCCATGGGGGGGGACTGGGGGTGTGGGGGGATTGGGGTGCACCCACAACCTTCATTTTGGCCGCAGGACTGGAGAGAAGCTGAGCCCAGAGCCAGCCAAAGCCAGCAGTGAGTCCCAGCGCTGCCTCCTCTGCCTCTGCGGCTTGGACACCATTGGGGGTGAGTGGGGAGGGCTCTGGGGGGGGTTGGGGAGCAGCCATGCACCCCTCAGTGACCCCCTGGCTCTTACAGAGGAGGAGCTGGCTCTGGAGCCCACGCTGATCTGGGAGGAACCAACACCAGGGTGAGCACGTGGGCTTGGGGCATTNTCAGCCCCCCCATCCAGCCAGGGAGCCCCCCAAGACCCGGCCCCGCTGGGCACACCTGGGTGCAGTTGCTGAAGTACTCGTGGGGGTCCACGACCTCCAGCTGGTAGAGCATCTTGCAGACGATGATGATGCAGGTCCAGACGGTGGAGAGGCACGAGGCCATGTGGCGGAAGCGGCAGTAGGGCACGGCCAAGGTCCACAGCAGCACCAGCAAGAAGTTCATCACCGAGACCTGGGGCAGAGGCTGTGTCAGCACCTCGGGGAGCCCCACTGAGCCCCCCAACCCTGCACCCCCAAGAGTACCTCCTCCAGGGCCACCCAGACAGCGTAGACAGCCACCAGCTTGAGGACGTGGAGCTCCAGCAGGCGCCTCACAAACACCTCGCTCCGCGTCATCTTGTCCGAGAAGGTGCGGCCCAGCACCACCAGGCGCTCCAGCACCAGCCCCCATTTGTTGGACACTGTGGGACATGGACCCTCATGGACACCCCTGCAGCCTTGCTGGCTCTGAGGACACCCCAACCCATCCCCTGTGTCCTCCCCAATCCATTCCCACACCTGGAGAACAACCCAACCCATCCCTGCCTCCCCACCCATCCCTGCATCCCTCCAGACTTGGAGGAGACCCCAGTAAATCCCTGCACGACACTGGTCCCACCCTGGCTTTCAGGACACTCCAACCCACCCCCAATGCCCTCCCAGCCCGTTCCTGGCTCAGAGAACATCCCAGTCCATCCCCACACCCCTCCACAGAACTTGAAGGACACCCCCATCCATACCCTGAAAGGCTCTTTCAGGCTTGGAGGATGCCACAGTTCATCTCCATACCCTCCCACACTCAGATACCAACCCAAATCCATCTCCCTGCCCAGATATCAATCCAAATCCATCTCCTTACCCAGATATCAACCCAAATAAACCTCCCTGCCCAGATATCAACCCAAACCCACCTCCTTACCCAGATATCAACCCAAATCCACCTCCCTGCCCACATATCAACCCAAATCCATCTCCCTGCCCAGATACCAACCCAAATCCATCTCCTTGCCCAGATACCAACCCAAATCCACCTCCTTGCCCACATATCAACCCAAATCCATCTGCCTGCCCTCCCAGGTCCCTCCTGGCTTGCAGAACCCCCCTCCCAGCCCATGCTCCATCCCTGCCCATACCCAGGGATGCAGTGTCTGAGTCTCGAGAGTTGGTGGTCTCGGAAGCAGCCGCATCCCGCAGCAGACGGCTCCCGTGGAGCTCCTCAGACCTGTGGGGAGGGGGTCAGAGCAGGGATGGGGTGCTCGGGGTACAGGGGGGTCACAGAGCAGGGACAGGGGGCTGGGGGTGCAGGGAGGGTCACCCAGCACCAGCCCCTACCTGTGGATGTAGGAGGAGGTCAGAGAGGGGGGCCGGATGTGCTGCAGGTCGGTGATGCGCATGAAGGGCTCGTGGAAGTAGTGGAGCTGCAGGATGCAGGCCAGCAGGAAGAAACCCATCATGAGGATGCTGGAGAAGAGCTTGGAGACGCTGAACTGCTGCAGGCCCATGTCGCTCAGCCTGGGTGGGGAGAGGAGGGTCAGCACAGGGTCCCATCCATCCCACCCCAACCAGGCACCAAGGTTGATTCACACCAGGGATCAACCCCAACCCGCTCTGTGCCTTGGTTTCCCCAGCCCTTGCCCATGCCCAGCGGGTAGGGAACACTCACTGGTCATCATTGAGCCCTGTAATGTTCCTCCAGTACATGGGGAAGTCCTCAAACTGGTATGTGTAGGTGGCAATGAGCACCAGCATGGTGTAGGCCACCACCAGCCACCAAAAGCCCTTGAGCACCTTGCGCCACAGGCTGTAGTACACCTGCGGGGACAGGGACATCAGCAGGGCCACCCTGGGCGTGGCACAGGTCCCCAGGGGTGCCCAGCCCCTCCACCTGGAACAGCATGAGGCACAGGAGCAGCAGGAGCATGTAGACGATCTTGTAGAGGACGAGGCGGCCGGCGAAGGTCACCACGATGAACTGGACGGCGCAGACGCAGATCCAGAACTTGGCAAAGAAATCCCTCAGCACCTCGCCCAGCTTCTGCAGCACATCCCGCATCTGGCTGGCTTCTGTGGGGCACACAGGGGCTGCAGGAGCCGGGCAGGGACACAGGGGTCCCCCCACAGGCACAGCCACACCAGGAGCCCTCACCTGCATCCGTGACACACGCGGCCAGCGCCCTCCTCTTTAGCACCTTCTCGCCAACGAAGCCCCGCAGCAGCACCCAGAAGGTGAGGGTGAACAGGAGCTGTGGGGACAGGCGGTGAGCGGGGTGCTGGNCGGAGCGCTCAGCCTCGAAGACGCGCCACTGCTGGGCGGCGCACAGCAGCAGCAGGAAATCATCTGGGGAAACAGGGCTCAGCCCGGGCCACAGCCCCCCTAAATGCTGCTGTCACCCCCTAAACCCTTTCCCCAGGTGTGGGGCACCCCCATCCTGCCCTGCATGGGGAGCTGTTCATTCCCTCCAGGCACATGCGGCTTTCCCCAGCCCCACCTCCTCTTTAACCAAGGGTGGGTCTCTCCAGGTCCCTTCTTTTCCCAGAAAGGGGTGGGATAACAATTAAGAACCCCAAAAAGGAGTGGGATAACAATTAAGGATCCCAAAAAGGGCTGGGATAACAATTAAGGATCCCCCAAAAAGGGTTGGGAAAACAATTAAGGTCCCCCAAAAAAAAGGTGGGGTTTGCCATGACTCCTTCTCCAGCGGGGTGTGTGTGACTTAAATTCTACCTCCAAAAGAGTGGGGCTCTTAAAGCTCCTCCACCCTTCCTGCCTGTCCTTCCCCCCTCCTGGACCCACAGGATGGCTGGGGAGGTCCCAGAAGTTGGGACAGGGGGTGGAGTAGGGGGACAGAGCACCCCATGGGCACAGAGGTGCCAGGGGCTGGAGCAGGGGGACCAGGGGGCTGCCATGGGCTGTGCCACCCCATGAGCAGGGACTGTCAGGGGCTGGAGTAGGGGGCACCCCATGGGCAGGGGGCTACTCACTGATGAGGTTGGTGGATTTGGGAGCCTGGAAGAAGTCGGGCAGGTAGAGCCACTTGACGAGGGCCGAGTTGAGGGGAATGGCACGGCTCCAGCGCCACGGATAGTCTGGGGGAGCAGGGGGCACCATCAGTGCCAGGCCTCTCCTGCAGCCCCTTCCCACAGACACGCAGGGTGCCCCTCACCTATGCAGAGGGCGGGCGGCATGCCCAGGCACAGCAGGTACTGGTAGAGGAAGAAGATGACGAGGAAGAGGCAGTACTTGGGCCAGAGGCGGGCGATGGCCGCGCGCCGCCGCCGCGTCAGCATCACCACGAGCCAGCAGCCGTGCAGGATCACCAGGAAGTTCATCCGCTGCCCGATCACGTTCACTATCATCAGGAAGCAGATCTGGGGGCACAGGGGGTGCCAGGGCTCAGCAATGGGATGCTGTGAGTGCCAAGACCCCAACCCACACAAGGGGTGCCCCCACCTCCAAGCCAAACTTGTAGTAGAAGTAGTTGATGAAGTATTTGGCGCAGTTGACGAGGCCGAGGTCGAGGTGCTCGCGGGAGATGTCCTCAAACACGGTCTCGGTGACGGGGGCCACCAGCTGGTGCTGCTTGCGGTGGTACTGCTGGCGCCGGTACACCACGGCCTCAAACACCAGCAGCAGCAGCACCTGCAGGTGGTTCTGGGGAACAGGGCACGCTCAGGACCATGGGGTGACACCAGCAATCCCCCTACAGGGTGGTCCCCATACAGAACATCTCCCCAGGTTCTTGGAAGAGACCTCAGGACCATGGTGTGACACCAGCAATCCCCCCATGGGGTGGTCCCCATACAGAGCACCTCCCCAGGTTCTCAGAAGAGATGCTGAGGACCACAGGGTAACACCAGCAATCCCCCCATGTGGTGGTCCTCATAACCAGCACCTCCCCAGGTTCTCCAAAAAGACGCTCAGGACCATGGTGTGAAGCCAATAATCCTCCCACATGGTGGTCCTCATAAACAGCATCTCCCCAGGTTCTCAGAAGAGACCTCAGGACCATGGTGTGAAGCCAAGAACCCCCTCCAGGCAGTCCCCAGCGTGTCCCCATGCCCACCTTGACGTATCCCCAGTTGGGGAAGCCCTTGCGGATGCCGAACCAGTTGGCAGGGTCCACGGGGCCGCGGTACAGCNAAATTGGGGTCTTTGAGTCTCCAGAGGATGGAGGCTTGGGAACTTTGTGTCTTGGGGACATCAGGGATTGGGGGCATTTGTTCTCAGGGACGTTGTGTCTGGAGCATTGGGATGTTGGGGACATTGGATCTCTGAGACTTCAGGGTTTGGGGACATTGGGTGTCCGGGACATCGGGGCCAAACAACATCGAGGCTTGGGGACATTGAGTGTTGAGGATGCATAGCAGGGGGGACAGGAACGTTTGGGAACGTAGCTCGTGGGGATCGTTGGATCTTTGGGACACTGGTCTGGGGGACATCAATGGGACTTTGGGGACGTGGGGTCTGGGGGTGTGGGCCCAGCTGTGGCTCAGGAATCCCCACGTCCCCATGTCCCCCAGTGGCTGCTTCCGCGAGTACTTTGTGCACAAGTTCCGTGCCATGCTGGGCAAGAACCGCGTCATCTTCCCAGGAGAGAAGGTACTGACGGGCAGGGGGACCGGCCAGGGGACCCGGGGGTGGCCCCAGGGCCTGTGACTGTCCCTGCTGTCCCCACAGGTGCTGCTGGCAGTGTCAGGGGGCCCAGCCTCCAGTGCCATGGTCAGGCAGGTGCAGGAGGTGAGTGGGGGCTCAGAGGGGCTCAGGGGTGCACGGCTCGTCCCCCCTCACCCCACAGCTCACCCCACTCTTCTGCAGGGGCTCAGCCGGGAGGCGGCCAAGAGGCTCCGCTTCATCCCCGGACTTCTCTATGTTGAGGGTGAGGGAGCCCCTGTCCAACTGCCCATTCCAACCCCATCCCTGCTCTATGTCCAGCTCTCCAATCCCTGCTCCACATCCAGCTGTCCATTCCAACCCTATCCCCTGCTTTGTGTCCAACTGTCCATTCCAACCCCATTCCTTACTCCTGTCCAACTGCCCAATCCCTGCTCCTGTCCAGCTGCCCATTCCAACCCCATTTCGTGCTCCTGCTGCCTCTTCCCTGCCTTACTCCTCGTTCCAGCCTCGTTCCCTGTTCCCTGCCCCATTCCCACCCCAGTGCCTGTTCCCTGCCCATCCTGGCCCCATACCCGTTCCTGCTCCATTTCCTGCCCCACTGCCCATTCCATGCCCCATTCCCAGCCCTGCTGCCCATCCCTTGCACATTCCCAGCCCCACTCCCTGCTCCCTGACTCCCAGCACACTGTCCCCTGCGCTGTGCCAGGGCTGTGGAGCTGCCACCCTGTCCCAGGGATGTGGCAGTGTGGCAGCAGCCCTGGCAGTGTCCCCACCTTGCAGAGGGAGCCGTGCGCAGGCAGAGCCCAGAGCAGCGGCAGCAGACCCTGGCCCAGATGGAGACCCTGCTGCAGGCCACCGGCTTCCCCTACCACCTGGTCCACCTGGAGGAGGTATTGGGGTGACATGGGACAGCTGCTGAGGTGAGGGGACACATCTGGACAGCTTGCCCTCTATCCCTGTCTGCCCCACAGGCACTGGAGCTGCCCCCATCCATCCTACAGCCGGGGCCAGAGTGCGCCGGCCCGTCCGGCCCNACAAACCTCTCGAGGCACAGCACCCGGGACATGTCCGTGTGCTCCCGCGTCTGTGTGTCCAGCCACTGGGCCAGCCCGTCCATCAGGGCCTCGCACAGCAGCCACAGGAACTTCAGCATGTTCACTGCCCGCTGCAGGGCGGTGCTGCGCTCTGCCAGGGCAAGGAGAGGGCACGAGGGTCACCCGTGCCCCCCCAGACCTCCTCAGCACCCCCAGTGCTGCAGTCCTGCTGCCCACCCACCAGCTCTTTCCACGTTCTCTTCCTCCCAGCCTTCAGCCCCCTGGGCAGCCTCTGCCCCTCTCCTCAAGGGTCAGACCCCAGGGAAGGATGAACATCATTTCTGGGGCTCTCCCATCCCCTGTCCCCCCACATCCACCTGAACAACCAGGGTGGGCACCGAAGAAGCTGCACAGCCTGTGCCAAACCCCACTGTGCCACCAGAGAGCCCTCACACGTGCTGGGAGCGCCCTGCCAGGGCACACAGCGGGCACCGGGCAGGGCTGTGTCCCCCTCCTGCCCCCCAGCCCCATTTTGGGGTGTCACACCCACCTGTAGGGCTCTCAGTGCCGGTTGGCGGTGGCTGCTCAGGCTGCTGCTGCTGCCGCAGCACCGCGTTGGGGTTGGTCACCCAGGCCTGGTAGGCGAGCTGGAGGGGGACAGGGGCCATCAGCAGCCTGGGGACACTGCCAGCCCTCGGGCTGCTCTGCAGTCCCCCAGCCCTGCTCACCTGGAAGGCGCTCGGCCTCCCCGACTGCGGCTCCTCCTGCACCTCCTCCTCCTCCTCGCTGTCCGACTCGAAGAGGAAGTAGTCCCCAGAATTCAGCACTGCCGGGGGGGCACAGGGCGTCACAGCACGGCCAGGGCCATGGCAGGGGTGCCACACCCCAGGCTGTCCCCGCTGCCATCTCCCAGGCCGCTGCCTGGCACCGAGGACACCCATGGGGGACATCAAACCCAACGACTCAACTGCCACGTCCCCAAAGCAGCGCCAGCGTTCGGAGGTGATTGATGTCAGTGACCCCAAACCAGCCTGGCACCCCCAGCCCAACACCCCGTTAGTGCTGGGGAGCAGAGAAGCTGTGGTTAGTGCTCTTAGGCTGAGCCTGGGGACAGGGGACACGCGGGGTGTCTCGTGGCCGAGCAGTGTCCCCACAGGTGTCAGAGCGGTGTCCCCACAGGTGTTGGTGTTAGTGCAGGGTCCCCACAGGTGTCAGTGCAGGGTCCCTGCAGGTGTTAGTGGTCCCACGGAGGGACCTCTCCGAGGGCTGAGCCCTGTTATGGCCCCGTGCTGGGGCTGTACCTGTAGCATGGTCTAACCATGGCCGCCACCAGCGCTCCCTCTGCCGGGACGAGTCTGCCGGGCCACCAGGAGCTGTGGGACGGCAAAGGGGGCTGAGAGAGGCTGAGAGGGGCCCTCCCTGCTCAGGGCACCCACCCTGCCCAGGGGGACTCAGGGCGGGACGTGTCACCACAATGCTCCACGGGGCTCCACCAGGATGGGCGTCAGCGAAGGGTCACGGTGCCACCCGTGTGTCCAGAGAGGGGTTGGGGACACGGNGCGGCCCCGTGCCCTACCCCTGGAAGAGGAAGAGG